CCCCCACCGACCAAACTGTGCAGCTCTGCAGCTGCATCCTGGCCAATCTTCCCCCTTCTGGCCCCAACCCTCACCTCCTTGTACCCCCAATATGTTTTTCCCAATTTAAAAAAAATGACTAATCTGTAATATACTACAAAGCACAGATGAAACTGGAAAGCATTAGGCTGAGTGCAACAGGAATGCAAACATGACTGAAGAAAGTCAAATTGTTATTGTTATGTTCCGTCGAGTCGCATGGGACTGCTAGTGACCCTATGTACAACAGCCCTAAACTCTGCTCTGTCCTGTGCCAATGGCACTATCACTGCCACTCCCATCCCGATTATCCCAGTCACTGAATCAATTCACCTTATATATGGCCTTCCGGGCCTGGGTTGTCCTTCCAACTTCCCAAGCATAATGTCCTTCGCCAAGGACCGGTCTCTCCTCACAACATGTCCAAAGTATGTTAGACGAAGCCTCAGAATCCTTACCTCCAAGGAGGCACCTGGTTTAACCCTTTCCAGGACAAATCTGTTTGTTTTAGTAGCAGTCCACAGTACTCTCAATGCTCTTCTACAGCACCACACCTAAAAGGCATCAATCCTTCTATCCTCCTTAGTCATTGTCCAACTACCTGATGCATAACAAGTGACTGAGAAGACCATGGCCTGTATCAGACGCACCTTAGTCTCCAGAGAGATGCCACTGCTCTTGAGTACTTTGGAGAGGTCCCTAACAGCAGACTTTCCCATGGCAATATGCCTTTCACTTTCCTGGCTACTGGTGCCAAGAGTGTTGACTGTGGAGGCAAGCAAACTAAAGCTGTGAACAATCTCAATATCTTCACCATCCATCCTGATGCTGCCAATTGGTCCAGTGGTGAGAATCTTTGTCTTCTTGACATTGAGCCTCAATCCATATAGTAGGCTGCAGTCCTTGACCCTCTGCAGCAAGCATTTCAGGTCCTACTCAGTTTCAGTAAGCAAGGTTGTGTCATCTGCATGACGCAGATTGTTAATAGATCTTCCACCAATCCTGATGCCACAATTCTCCTCATAGAGCCCAGCCTCTTGGATAATCTGCTCTGTATACATGTTGAAAAGGTATGGAGACAGGATGCATCCCTGGCATACACCCAATTTTGAACCATGCAGTGTTACCCTGCTCTGTTATGACTACTGCCTCCTGGTCCAAGTATAGGTTTCACATTAAAACGATCAAGTGCTCTGGGATTCCCATTCTTCTCAGAGTCAGCCACAGTTTGTTATGGTCCACACAGTCAAACGCCTTTGCACAGTCAATGAAACACATACAGACATTCCTCTGGTATTGTCTGCTTTCAGCTTAGATCCATCTAACATCACCTACAATATTCCTAGTACCACGACCCCTTTTAAACCCAGCCCGGACATCTGGTAGTTGTCTGCTGATGTGCGTTCCAGTCGTTTTTCGATAATCTTCAGTAGAATCTTGCTTGCATGTGAAATCAAATTAGATTGTTCTACAGTTTCCATACTCTGTTGTGTCACCTTTCTTTGGGATGGGAACAAATATTGACCTCTTCCAGTCAGTTGGCCAAGTGGTTGTTCTCCAGATTTCTTGGCACACCTTGTGACCACGCCCAGGGAAACATCTGTTAGCTGAAATATGTCAATTGGTATACCATCTATTCCTGGAGCCTTATTTTTTGCCATTTCCTTCAAAGCAGCCTGAACTTCTTTCATCACCATAGGTTTTTGCTCATATGTTGTTTCATGAAATTCCTCTGTGTCTGCCAATTCCTTTCGATACAGCGTTTCAATATATTCTTTCCATCTTCTTTAAATACTTCCTGCATCATTTAACATTCTGCCGAAAGCATCCTTGATTATAGCAACTCGAGGTTTGAATTTGTTCTTCAGTTCCTTGAGCTTAAGAT